GATCAGGACAGAAGGACGTGGATAGGTGCCTTTATTGAACAGCAGGACATCACACACTAACTTGTTGTTTCTTAGCGGTGCAGAAACTACCCTTTTTTGTTGTTATATATTGGTCAACCAAGAACTAGCCCTGTAACAGGCACTTCTGTATTTTACCACTGGGGGGCAACAATCCACTCTATTACAGCCTCAGTCACATATATGATCATTCTGATCATCCATCAGTATTTTTATATCTATGAAAGCGAAGCTGACACTGTGAGACTTCATCGAGGCGTGAGCGTCACAGCAGAGGCCTTTGAGTCAAAGTAGCAGGATCAAACAGACACACATGAAGCAGAGTTTCCTGTCCTGGCTGTTTATAGCAAATAACCTTAAAATATTCTGCAGTGGAACAAAAACTGAAGAGCTGGAAGGAAAGCAGCAAAAGTCAAAGTGAATTCATGACGATGTTTATGTGAAGTGTCGTTTGGATCTTCTTCTGCTGCTGGTTCGGTCAGTTTTGGTCTGAGAGACAAACCTGCAGCTCAGACTCCAGCGCAAAAAAAGACGTAAACACGAAGCGCGGACGCATCACAATCTGCGGCTGTCGGCTGACGTGCGCTTTGTGTTTACGTCTTTGTGCAGAATCTGCTCTGGTTTGCTGTTTTAGCTGTTTGGTGTTTGTTGAAATTTTGTGAGCTTTAACCTGAGATTCTGGAAAATCGTTAATCCAAACCCAGCCCTGAGTACAAACAGCAGGCAGGAGGAGCATGCTCTCCACCGAGGAGGGGAGAAGGTCAGCAGCAGCTCCTGGTCCAGGTTCTTCTTCCTCAGGACACGGAGGAGGGGCAGCTGCTGCTGGCCTTCTTTACCAGGGTGATGGTGGTGTGGCTGCACAGAAACCTGAAGGTGGAATAAAAGTAAAGTAAAATTTTATTTATATAGCACCTTTCAAGATAAGATCACAAAGTGCTTCACAGAAGCAGAAATGGACACACGACCTCAAACAAACGAAATCAACCAAAAGCAAGTTTAAACAGATACGTTTCTAACTGCTTTTTAAAAGAGACGAGTCCACAGATCAAAGGGAGCCACTGACGCTCTGTCACCTTCTGCTTTTAGCCTTGTGTGCTGGACAGCAAGCTGGTCGCAAGAGGGACCTGCTGGGGCGATGAAGAAGCTCACCGATGTAAGCTGGAGCTACACCGTGCAGGGCCCTGTAGTCATGATTAGGGAAGGAGATGAACCTGTCAACGAGTTTTTCTCCACAAACGCTCCGCTTTACGACAGACACGCTTTAAACAGCAAATGCTGTCGTTTGTCCAGGGAGAGGCTTTTCACACAGGGCTAGTGTAGCTTTAACGGGGCCAATATGATCTCAAATAGAAAGACAACAATTATTAAAAACATTTGTTAATAAATCAACATCGTTAGAAGCAGGCAGAACAAATGAAAAACATCAGAAACGTTAGCAGCCGTAGAGGAATTTAAGGTGCGCGAGCTAAAAACATGACGAACAGAAGGAGGCCAATAAATAGACGGGTTAAAAATGATACGAGGATGTCCGACATAAAACGAGGTCCAGAGAGTGTCCTTTGGTGTGAGTGGGGCCGGACGCATGCTGTGGGAAATGAAGAGTCCATGATGCTAAGAAAACCTCTGGCAGGTCAGCGTCATCATCATGTTGCATGTTAAAACCCCCAATTATTAACGACGTGGACAGCTTCAAGATGGGAGATAAAAAGTCACTGAACTCCTTTAAAGATGGACTGCGGTATTGAGGAGAGTGAACACAAGGAAAGCGGCGGGGCCAGACGGCATCACCGGCCGTCTGCTGCGCTGCTGTGCTGACCAGCTAGCAGGTGTGTTCACTTCCATCTTCAACGAGTCCCTGGCGAAGTCTGTGGTCCCCACATGCTTCAAAAGATCCACCATCATCCCTGTGCCCAAGAACAGCAAACCCTCATCCCTGAACGATTACCGGCCAGTTGCACTGACCTCGGTAGTAATGAAGGTGTTTGAGAGGCTGCTGAAGAACATCATCTCCTCCTCTTCCTACCCCCCCCATTTTTGCACATGTCGAGGAGCGTGTCAGGCTACATTTCACTGTGTATAACTATGCATGTGACAAATAAAGAACCTTGAACCTTCTGACTGAAACACCACACGTGCAGCAGCCGGCGTGCTAACAGGACAGAGGCTACTTCCATCTTTTATATACAGGCTGGTTTGGGGTCAGGTGGTAACTCTGAAAGGAGGAGCTTAAACCCGATGAGCTCATGTTTGCAGGTCTTATTTCTCACAAATACCCGTAGGAGCTAACATCCTTCTCCACCTGCTGTCCTCTCAGCGTGACGAGGAGACGAGGAGGCATCATGCCAAAGAAGATGAAGAAGAGCGTGGGGAAGTCTGACGAGGAGAGACAGGTGCACCTGCAGCAGCGCGCTCAGGCTGAGGAGGAGCTGAAGCAGAAGAAGGAGGAGACGCTCGGCCTGTTCCTGAAGGTGACACAGAGGGAACACCTGGATCACTGTAGGGGGCGTGGCCTCTTTGACTTTCTGCTGCTGGCTCTTGTTGAACGCCTCACACTGTGTGTGTGTGTGTGTGTGTGTGTGTGTGTGTGTGTGTGTGTGTGTGTGTTGTAGGACAAGCTGCAGAAGGAGCAGAGGAACACTGCTGTGAACCTGCTGAAGCTCCACGACGGCTGGAGGGCAATCCTCCGCCAGACCAGGGATGCCGAGCTGCGCCATGACATCATCGTGCTCCAGCAGACGTTTGAGAGGACGCTGGACGACCTGGACAGCACCGTCCAGGTGCTCCGCCCCTCGCCTGTGCTCACCCCGCCTCCCACACTCGTCTTACCCCGCTGACCAGACTCCTGCCCGTTTGTGTTGCAGAAGCTGATGGGCGACGTGCAGGAGACCGAGCGCCAGGAGGCGCACATGCAGCGCTGCCACCTGCACCACATGGAGGCGCTGTGGGCGCTGCAGGCCGCACGGCTGCAGGGTCTGCAGCAGCAGTGGGAGCGTGCCCTGGAGGACGTCAGCGCCAGCGTCAGCTCTCAGAGGTGAGTCGTATGCTGCGCTCGCTCACCTGCCGTCAGCGCCTCCTCCAAGCCTGTGAGCTAAAGTCAGAGTCACATGATCCGGTGGCCTGAAGCCGGTGGAGCTGTGTTGACCTCTGACCCTGTGTGGCGTTTCAGGCAGCAGATGTTGGAGCAGTCTCAGCAGCAGGAGATCCAGCTGCAGGAGCTGACCCTGACGGCGGAGTTGCACAACACGGACGCCATGAATGACATCAGGATGCTGCTCGAGGACACGCTGGCGATGTACACGTGCTCTCTGGAGGAGCAGGTATGGCGCCGGCCCGTGGTCTCCCTCTACCTCTCAGGCCCGTCCGGCTGCGCTGACCCCTCTCTGTGCACAGGTGGCTGCTCTGGAGGGCAGGGAGGAGGTGAGTGACGCCACCCAGACGAGCTTGGAGCACCTGCAGAAAAGTATCGTCAAGGTAACGCAGCTCGAGAAGCAGCTCGCAGACAACCAGAAGAAGATCAGCGAAGACTTGAAGACCACCAAGAAGCTGGAGGTCAGTGCGCTCACAACACCTCCACCTGTCTCTGAGCTCCGCTCATACGTACAGGTGTGTCACAGGTGTGTCACATCCACAGTCAGCTGACCCGGGTGAGCCAAACACAGTCCTGGAAACGAATTATCAGTCGTTCAGGCCACGCCCCCTAATAAATACCTTAAGTCCTAATATGATGCCTGCAGCTGTTTGAAGGAGGAGTTTGTGTGTAAACTGTAAACGTGTTCGTTTTAACACGCACTCACTGTGCTCGCTCACTTCCTGTCAGGACGCCGTCCGCAGGCTGAGGGAGAAGATGATCTCCAACAAGGCAGAAAACAGCTCGCTGGAAGAGGACCTGACCGCCACCATACATGAGCTCAACTGCAGGTCTCACGCACTCCAGGACCACCTGACCCAGTCGCACACGGCGGCGAGGAAGAGGCTCACCGAGCTCGCCGTCCAGGGTGACGCCGCCGCCAAGAACCTGCAGGCCGTCGTCACCAAGGTGAAGCCCGCCTCACCTGTCTGCATCACCTGTCGGAACTGCTTCTCACCCTCCGTGTGCTCCGCTGTTTCAGGGCGAGAGGGTTCTACGGGCCGCAGACATCTGCCACCGGCTGGAGACGCAACACGACACGTTACTGACATCATCATCATCACGACGCACAGACGAGTGCCAACAGGACACGCCAGCAAAGGTAGGCTCCGCCTTCCCCAACCTGTATCCTTTTAGTTTAACTTTAGCGAGCTCCCAGGTGGGTGTGCAGCTTCTAAAACAAGCACAGTGCCAGGAAGCTCCTCCCCCACAGGTACAATATGGCCTGCAGACAGTTGTCAGCTCACCTGTCCATCGGTCTGCAGGACGTCTGTAGGTTCCCAGAACTGCAGCAGCTGCGGCGGAGCAGCAGCAGCGCTGTGCTGCAGCGTGAAGCTCTGAGGAAGCACAGCAAGGACCTGAGGCGTGAGAACGAACAGCTGCAGCTTTTGCTGCGTCAGCATGACCACCACGCCCACTTGCCCCCACTACACGTGGCCCGAGCTCCAACCACCACCAGCACCACACCTGCTACTGCGAGGGGTAGGAGCCACGTCACGGTCATCGAAGCTGCCCACGCCGTCTTGAAGCAGTGACTAATTAAAATGTGTTCGCTATGACGACCAGCAGGACGACTCCTGATGTGCTTTGAGCTTTCTTGCTAAAGGGGCGTGTCCATATAGGAGGGACCGGCCTGCAGTATACTTGAGTACTTTTAGTCGAGTATTGTGTGAAAGTCTTTGTATGTTCTCCAGTTTCCAAGTGTTTGCTGCTCTGATTGAACATTAGCTCGCTCTACAGACAAGTTTGTTTTGGGTGAGGAACAGAAATCTGTGCAAAGCCTTTTTATACACTCCCACCACCAGGGGGCAGAGTTTCACCAGGAAGTAGCCACTCACTTGTTAGCATCCAGGTACCAGCTTGGATAAACAGGAAGTATAAACAGCATGATATAACTTCCGTAAACTTTTCCTGACGAGGTTTTGGTCTCAGCTGCTGTCTTTGGGGGTCTTCGGGTCGTGGCTGCTGGTCGGCCCCACAGGTGTGGCTCTGAATAACACCCAGCAGGTAGCGCCACATACGGCGAATTAAACACACAAAAAAGAAGAGAGAAAAACATGACCGTGAGGAAAAACAACTTTAAAAAGGTGAGCTTAGCAAAGGTGACTCACTGACCTGAATACCTGAAGTGACCCTCACCTGGTTACCGCTGCTAACGCCCATCAGGGCCTGGCAGGTGAGGGAAACGTGATCTGCTGATCTTTTCATGGTTTGTGGTGTCGGGTTTATTTCTCATCCGATGTTCTGACTGTGATGGAGGGTGGAGAAGTTACAGGAACTGTTTCTGCTGTGAGCCAAGCTGTTCACCAGCTAATGTTTGCAGGTGAACAGCGCCCCCGAGTGGAAAGCACAAAGAAGGGTTTGAGGCCAGCAAACCAAATCCTCTTCCTGCATTTAGACTTGTTTTTAATGAAAGTGTGTGACTGAGGAATACATGAAATCTTCTTATTTGCTGTGTTTATATAACATCTGAATAAATGTACAAGAAAACCGAAGGAGCCAGCGGGGGGATTTATTTATTAACTGCTTATTTTCAGTATTTATTACTGCATCGTCCATTATATATTCTTTTATTTTCATATTCAAATAATACTTTATTTGCTTTTTTGGGTACTTTTCCATATTTTTTTAAATTTAGCTTTATTTTATTTTACAACTTGTTATAATTAATTACCCGTGTGTCATAGTAATATTTAATACTACAAATCTAAATAATTTGAAATATAAATTCTTTATTTAAATAAATCATTTAAATTCCATAATTTTATTTACAGAGTGCTGAGTCACAGCAACAGCGGTGCTTCAGACTGTGAGCCCACAGTTACAATTATCCACGCAGTGAGTTAATTACCTCATGTCTTATGTACCCCACCAGAGTGTTTTTAATGTAAAATGTACCTGAGCTTAAACACAACCAAACCGAAATCCACGCGCGGGTCAGAGTCCAAAGGGCGGCACAGATCCACAGGGACCAAAACACGGAGGAGTAAGAAAACGTGGAGGATGCGGGCATCGATCCCGCTACCTCTCGCATGCTAAGCGAGCGCTCTACCATTTGAGCTAATCCCCCGCTCACGGCGAGCATACGGGAAACGTCCTATTCAAAGAGCTCAACGCCACGTGTCAGATGAGGCGCTGACACGTGATTAGGCTCATGTCGACGTGTGATTGGCCGGGAAACAGCAGGGTGGGAGGAGCGGAAAAAATGCAGGCAAAAATAGAAATGATGGCGGTGACAGCTCAGTGCGATCTGCTCACAGGATAAAGGCGGAGGCTGACGTCACTCAGCAGCGTTTTAAACTGTGAGACGGTTTAAAAACATCCATTTAACAGAAATACGAACAGAGGCGGCTGAAACTCAGCAGCTGTTATTAACGCAGAACAGCGTCATTAAACGTTAGAGCGGGCGCTTCCCAGGTGAGCCCCAAACAGCTGGATGTAAGTCGCACTAATGCCAGCAGAGCCGAGCTGAAGAACAAAGAGCGTGACCGCTGCCCGTCTCCATGCTGGCCCCGAGTCCAGCTTCTCGGCACCCTTACTACAGTTTTACCAACACAGTGTGTCCTTGTGTTATGGGGACATACCGGTACATGTGTTCACAAAGCAGCAAAGTGGGGACCCAGGTATGGTTACAGACAGAACAGGGCCCCACAAGGCAGATCAGGGTTACAGACCTGGTGGAAACTCGACTTCCTGTGTGTGTGTGTGTGATCTATCTGTGTCAGGTTTAAACTTTCTGAGGACATTTGACCCTGTGACGCTACATCGACCGTTACTCAGTTCAAGCTTGATCATTTTTGCTTATGACATACAGCTCTGTGTACTTTACCTCATACCGTTTCTTCTCAAGTGATGACCCTCTTCTCATAAAATACCAGCGTTAGTCTCATGTCAGGACTAACCCATAAAACTGGGTCCTTGCATTCACACGGGGACTGTTTTTGCCTCTATAAAAGCAGACGATTACACACAGAAACTTCAGTCTGATGTTGGGACTGTTTCACGCGACTTTTCATGTTTGGACGCTTTTCCTGGGCGACTTTGTTTTTGTACAAAGACTTATCACCATATCTAATTTTAGGTCTTCTTTATGTTTTTCATTAGAAATAATGAAAATGATTATTACCATATTATTTCCCATGAAAATAAGCCTTTATTCAAATGTCCTGTTTTTGTGGCGAGTCATGATTAATCCCCACAAAGACAGACATACAGGCGTGTGTGTGTGTGTGTGTGTGTTCAGCTGCCACATGCCAACACATCTCAGCTTTGTTCTATTTCTGCTGCAGGACTCAGTCATGGTCTTTATACAGCAGGTGAACACACACACACACACACACACACACACACACACACACACAGGAATGTAGCTGGAACTTTCCGTGGGTGGGTGCATGTGGGCGGTGGTCAGCGTATAAAAACAGCAGGGAGGACGGCCATCAGGCAGACAGACTTGAGACTGAAGCAGCTCGTCCACCACCTCCACCTCCAGGATAACAGGATGTTGTGCCCCAGTGTCATCCAGATGTCCCCCGCCGCCATGACGCCTTTCCTGGACCTGCACTGGCCCGTCCGCAGCCTGTGGCCTGAGACCCGGCCGCTTTTCTACCACATTGAGCGGGAGATGATCCGTCACATGCAGGAGATGAAGCAGAGCATCGAGTTCATGGAGCGGCTGCACCAGAAGATCTTTGAGGAGATCGATCAGACATCCTCCTGCACGGGGGTCTTCAAGCCCATCGCCTTCCAGGAGCTGGGGAGGGACGGCACCACCTTTGCCCTCAGCCTGGACACGAAGGAGTTCTCCCCGGAGGAGCTGTCGGTGAAGCAGGTGGGCCGCAAGCTGAGGGTGAGTGGCAGAACGGAGAAGAAGCGGGAGGACGGGAAGGGCTGCTACACCTACAAGTGCCAGGAGTTCAGGCAGGAGTTCAACCTGCCGGACGGCGTCGACCCCGAGGCCGTCACCTGCTCGCTGTTGGGAGGCCAGCTGCAGATTCAGGCGCCGCGGGAGAACCCCGCCAACGACGGGAAGGAGAGGATCGTCCCCATCAGCTTCACCTCAGCCCCGGCCGTCACCGCCTCCTCCTCCAGTGCTGGAGCAGAGGGGAGCGGCACCCCCACCTCAGAGAGCACCCCCACAGAGAAAAACTGAAGCCTCCCAGCAGTCTTTGGTCTGTAGTTTTACGGGAACGTTTTTCACTGTTTGTAATAAACTGTCAAGTTTAGCTTTCAGCGATGACTCATCACCTACACGTGAACAGTGAAGCGCCTCCGTCTCCCTGGTGCAGCTTTATCTGCCAGACGGAGGCGACATGGAGCTGATCCCCCACCCCCGCACTAATACTTTATTAAACAGTCTTTAGATATTCGCACCTTGCCCAGATACTGGTTTCATCACTGTTCTCTGCACTGGTAAAGTTCTTTTAAACTGGTTTCTCTGGCACACGTTTTCTGTGTCAGGGCTGAACACACACCCGTGTCTGAGCTCCAAACATCTGGCTGCTGATTGAGTTGAAGTTAAAGAACCTTCAACATTTTCCTGACATTTGCTGTTAACCCATTTTTAATAAGAACTGAACCTGCATGTGCTTCCTGGACCGTCCATGAACTGGCGGCGTGCTCCTTTAACCTGTGACTGTGAGCGAATAAAGACACGAGACACCAGTTTTTCCCCTTTCTTTGTAAAATAATTCTCAATAAACTTAATTTATTCACAAACTGCTTTTCAAATTGCCATGTCGTCATTTTTTTGAAATCACATACAATAAAAAACATTTTCTAAAAGACAAGAGATGTCCGAGACTCTCGCTAACTCTGTACACGGCTCCTCCTCCTCGTCACGGAGCTTTTCTCATTTTTTTTTTTTTCAAACACGATGCGTTCATGACGACAGTCTCGCCGTGCTCAGACATCAGATTAGAAATATTAAGAAAAACAGCAGAAAATGAACAGAAGGACTAAAAATGTAACAGCTACAGTACACGTTTCCTTTTCTTCTCTGTTAGTTTCGTCTTTTTTTCTTTTTAATGTTTACAGAATAATAGAGTATGTTTACTTAAGGCTTATGCTGAGTGTTATGGACCAATCAACAGAACCGAACCAAACCAGGAGGCGGGCGGGAAGGGTGTGTGTGTGTGTGTGTGCTTTCCTATGTGTGTAATGGGGACACTGTGTTTAATTGTGTTACAGGGACACAGTATGAATTTAGGGTTTTTCCTTTCACAAGTTTGGGAAAATTAACCTGTAGCCTTGTTTTTTTTTCTTACCTTCAGCACTGATCAGGACTTTCTAAGTGACACCTATCACAACTTTAATTTAAACATGTAGCACCCTGGCGTACCTCTGCCAATTTATTCTCGTGTCACAGGCGTTTTTCATGATCGTTAGGTGATTTAATCATCTTCAATTAATATATCCTAACATCTTTAATGAATAAACACAATTTCTTAATGCAAATTCAAGTTCATAATGATTGTTTAAATCAGTGACTCCCAAAATGCAGACTGGAGCCCCCTGGTGGGCTATGAAGATATTGTAGGCAGGCCGCATCATTAATTGAAATTCAGTTTGAAAATTACAAGTGTGTACAGTAACATATTCATATAAACAATAATAATAAAAGGCTGTTTGTGATATTAGTCATTACTCTCGCCTAAATTTACAGCTCTTGTATTAAAGTTTGTGTCCCAGTGCCACACCTTAGCCATAAACTGTGATATGCCTGGGTAGCATTAACAATGTACAGCCAACAGTGTGTGCTATTTAAGTTTTTAAGTGCTATTTCAAGGTAATACATCACTCTTGTCACTTTATTAGGATGAGGATTTAACCTTTAGAGGCCCATGTGAGATTGTGGTTTTGCAGTGGGCCTCAGCACTCTGGACTTTGGGAGTCGTTGGTTTAAAGAATTCAGTGAAACCCATCCAACATTTTCTAAGATTCTTGTGCTTCTATATTTTTATGCCAAGGTAACATGCTAAAGGCATAAACGTGAAGCATCAGAGGAAGACGACTGTATTTCTGAATATGTTGAAAATTTGAAATACTGGCTTCATCAGTGCTAACACAGAATCACCAGCAGATATTACATGTGACACGAAAATGTACAAACTGTCACAAAAAGTGAAACTTTGCATTTCATCATCGATGAGTTTGAAACCCACAAAAAACTATTTGTTAATGAGATTGCAGCGCTGCCCCCTAAAGGCAGATCGCAGTAACTACACAAGCTAAAGTATTGCTAAAGTTTGAGCCAAACTAAACCTTAGTCTTACACTCTAACAAAATAAATAAATATTACACAGTGTTTTGAAATAAATACAACATCTGCATTACTCTCTCAGTTTACTTCATTAAATTTACCCACATGACTTTATCAGATACTCCTCTGGCTACTGCTGCTCTGCTAAGCTTGGCTAGTTAGCGCTTAGCATTAACAGTTTGTTGTTTATGGTGGAGTGCAGCTGTTTAACTGAGATCTTGGAGCAAAACGATGTTTTTTCAAAATAATGGAAACGGTAAAGAGCGGACACACTAGCTTTAACTTGTTTTCTCCCCCAGCGTCACGTACGTGTAACACATAACAAAGTCAAGTCTCATATAGTTACTGCGTTGAGCTTTTGTGGGGCACACGACACAAAAACGTGACACATACAAAACTGTAAAGAACGAAGTGGACGCTCAGAGGACTGTTTTTGTTGTGTTTTTGAGGGTTTCAAGTTAGAATGAGAGCAAAGTCACTTTTTCAGCCAGCGTTTCCATGTTCACAGCGCACGATGTTTCTGAGCATCCAGACTGAATCCAGACTCACAGAAATGTGTAATTGCTGTAACACAGAAAACTCTCGCTGACCTATAACACTGCACCTGTAACCAAACCAACCGTGTGCGACTGGTACACCAACAGCTACACCTGCTGGGACAAACCTTCATAAAGTCCAGCAGTCACACAGAAGGAAAAGAGGCAACGTGCACTCCAAATATTAGAGACGTACTTTACTTTGTCCTGACAACTTCCTCAAAAAACTGGAGCTCGGGCTTCTTGGATGGTCTGTTAGTACAATTACCCACACAGCATGTCAGCACCTGTCAGTCAAAGAGGCCCCTGATAATACTAATGATTTACACAGGTGAGCTGGGAGTCTATGGCCCCGAGTGGGTTATAAGCCCCACCCCCTCCGTGTTAGCCTAATGTCTCAAAGTGTTTGTCATTACGCCGACGTCTGTTCGCATCAGCTCGTGTCCACTCCTTCATGTGGATCGAGCTCGCTTTCTTCAACCTGTTTGCCCGAAACGTCAAACTGTCTGGATACAAGTCACATGACCACCAGGACTGTGACGTCAGTGCCAGAACACACACACACGGTTACTCATATACTTGTGGGGACATAACTGACATAATGCTTTCTCTAACCGTAGCCGAACTGTAACCCTGACACTAAAACCACGTTCTGAGTCTCAAACATGACTTCAAAGTCGAGGGGACGGTCCCCACAAAGATATGAATACACACACACACACACACACACACACACACACGGGGGGGGGGAGGGGGTTTGGGGTGTGTGCAGCAGGAATCTGTGAACACTCAGGTGAACAACAGCATCAGTGGCTGCCGGCGCTCAGCACGGCCGCCGGGAGCCTGAACGCATCACCACGCCGAGGTCACGTGACCGGACAGGTGTGTGTGTGACATCAGATTTCACGATGAAGCGAACACGCTCGATTGTAAACGGCAGCGCCTCAGGAACGAGCGCAGAGTCGCTGAGCGTCGCCTCTGTGAAACGGGACGGCGTCCAAGTGAAACGCCGACCTGCGTTTACAACGGAGCCTGAAGCCGAAGGGATGAAATATCGCTCAGTCTACGTCCCGTTCTTCTCTAAGGTCAGAGGTCAGAGCAGATTGAACCCCGGTTTGTTTATTCTGACCTTGACGATGTTTTCACGCTGCAGCGGAGCAGCGGTACCACAGCTCTCCTGGAGAGTCGGTGGAACTCTGAATATATTTACAAACGTATTCGCTTTTTATTCTGGTTCTTTTTCGTGTGATGGAAGTGATGACCCCTCCCCCTGTGGTGCTGAACACTACAGTGCAAAGTTTAACCTTTAACCCCGAGACCCTTCAGACTAAATGTTTCTCCTCGGTACCTGATCCATATTTTAGTTTCCTGAACGTCACCTGACACGTTTCGTACTCGAACGTTTCAGGAAGACGAGCTCGGGGTTCTGTTCTGGTTCGGGTCGGCGTGGTGATGCTGTTTCAGGACGCTGCTGCGGCATGGCGCTTGAAGGCCTGAGGCGAGGAAACTCTGTGCCTCAGAGGCAGAGCGTCGGGCGACGGCGCCTCAGGCTCCGGGTGAGCGTTTAACGGCGGCAGCCACATCATCACTGTCGTGTCGATCAGCTCGTCCAATGAGAGAAGGTGTTGTTCCTGAGAGCCTTGCTGATTGGTGGCAAGGAGGCGCCGAGTGTTGAGATGGTGGCGGTCCAGGAAGTGGGGATGGGGGGGTTAGATAATTTCAAAATAAAACTAAAGAACAGAGAACAGCCTTCATTTACAAATACGTCAGTTTTCTTCTATTAAGTTCAAGTCCAGCTCTGTACAGTCCCGCTCGAACACCGCCTGCTGCGCCGCCTCACGCTCGTCTGCTTCCTCCTCTCCTTCGTCGTCCTCGCGGCACTCCTCGTCGCTCTCGCTCAGCGGCCCGATGCTGGTCCTGCCCAGGCACTCGGCCGGCGAGCAGGAGCCCCGGAAGTCGCCCATGAAGGGCTCCATGCCCATGCAGAGGTCGCCGCCGCAGGCCAGCCTGCCGCCGCCACGCTCCAGACACTGCGGGTCGATGCTGCGTGTCTGCGGGATGAAACATTCACAGCTGTAAATCTGCCACTCGAAGTCTGAGCGTTACACAACCTGAACAGCCAATAACGCAACAGAGGCGGAGCTAATACTAGTTTCAGGAAACATGGACTCTCGTTTCACTGTCACGCTGACGACTGTCAGATCTACTTAGAAAGAACTCGACAGACTCGATGGCGTTAAACGTTTTGAATGTAAATGATCGATCTGAGATCGACTGTGTGGACCCTCCGACCCTCGTTTGTCCTTCTGGAAAAGTCCAGAACTCCCCTCCAATATCTGGGGTTTGGCGGCTCAGCTGTGTGCTTACAAATAACTTGACTGACTGGACGCTCGCCTGTCGATCAGTAAACCGTTCAGTTCTTTGAAAACAAACCAGCAGCGTGTTTTTATTACCTGTGTCATCTTGGTGAAGTCGAGGACGGGCCGGGCGCAGGGTCTGTCGGGGTCGCGGCGTCTCTTCAGACCCGGTTTGAGGAGCAGCAGGTCACATGGCTGCGAGTGGCAGCGCGGTAGCTGTGGCGGGAGGCTGCGGCGCAGAGACGACGGCGTGCTGCAGGCCGATGAGGGCGAGGCGGGAACAGGGCCGCCCGCGGTCACGCCGCCCGCCGTCGTGACGCAGCCAGGTGGAGGCGCCGCTGCCGCTTGGCTAGGCGCTGGAGGTGGGGGCAGGAAGGTGGAGGCAGCAGAGTCTCTGATGAGCACCGGGGAGAGGGAGAAACGCCGCTGAGGAGGCGGGGGCGGGTGAAGTGGGGAGGGAGAGGAGGAGCAAGAGGAGGGGGAGGGGAAGAAGCAGCAGCAGGCTCCTCCCCCCGCCGCTGCCTCACTGGGGTCCCAGGGGAAGCTCCACGGTAGCGGCGAGTCCGGCGACAGCGCAAGGCTAAAAAAGGTGGGGCTGGACGAGGAGTGCAGCGACGAGTTCAGGGAGGAGCTGGGGGCGCGGAGAGGACAGGCTCCGCCCCCTGTCGCTCCCACCCCTACACCCCCTCCGGCGACCCCTCCCCCTGTGACCCCTCCCCCTGCTCCACCGTGGCACTGCTGGCGGCTGACGGGCGTCCAGACTCGCGAGGCACTGGGCCGCCACGTGTAGCGGCAGCGCGACAGGTCCTCGGGCACCGACAGCGAGCGGCAGTGTCGTTTGGGTGGTGGAGGAGGGGGGGGTGGGGGTCCAGGGCCTGGAGGGGGCACCGGCGCTCCGGGGAGGGACAGCTCGGACGCTGAGGTGCTGGGCGCCAGGGGGCGGTGCTGCGGCAGCGGCTGAGAAGGGGCCCCGTCCAGGGGGTCGCCACCCTCCTGCAGGTGAGCATCAGGCGGCACCAGCACCGAGGGGCCGGGCGGGAAACTAGAGCTCAGCAACCCCCCCTGCAGGCCGGACTTGGAGGGAGGGCAGAGCTGCCAGTAGCTGCTCTCTGAGGACACACACACACACACACACACACACACACACACACACACACACACACACACACACA